TGGATCACCTAGGTTCTTCTGTACTTAAATGAAGTGAAAAGAATTCCACCAAGGGGATTGCAATTTATAGAATTTGGGAATAAAGCCTCTTAGTATTAAACTTCAGTGTGGTCCCTGCCTCTCCCCGGGGGACTTCGGGGATTTGCTCCGGTGGCTGGTGGATAGGTTTACTGTCCCCTTTCCACAGGCTTGGAGTTAGCACTGACATTACGATTTCATAATCCCGACACCAACACCTCCTGCCTCTTACCCTAGAGCCAGTCTGTTCTTGTTAACAGTAAGAATCCTGTGTTCCCACTTCAGTGATACCTGAATTTGTTGTTTTTTAATTGTCTTTAAGGAGGAAGGGCCCCATTGAGGGGAAAACTTGTAATAAATTGGAAATTTCAAATAAACATTATGTACTTGTGTTTATAAAGAAAAAACAATGCTGGTGACTTCTTTGTGCTCTTTGGGGGTGCTAGTGGAAAGTGTATAGTCCTGAGTCCTCTGTTTTCCCAGTGAGTCTTGGAACCAGTTATTCCTCAGCATTGAGAGCACCTCTGACTTAGTCTTTTTTTTTTTCTTTTTTTTTAATGTTTTTATTTATTGAATATTTGGGAGAGTGAGAGAGGGATGGAAACATCAATGGTGAAAGAATCATTGATCTGCTGCCTCCTGCATGCCCCCTACTGGGGATCGAGCCTACAACCACCCTGGGCATGTGCCCTGACTGGGAATCAACTCCTGGTTCATGGGTCAACCCTTAACCACTGAACCACACTGGCCAGGCTGAGTTAGCCTTTTTAACCACAGGTTATAGCCAGCTTCTCGTTTCCTTGCTTCCAGGAGACATTTCTCGTGCTCTAGGTACAAAGTAAGACCTTCGTTTTCCCTGGCCTTGTCTGTGTTGGGAAACCCCCAACATTTTATTTGAAATTTCTAAGAATTAGAGGAAAGTTTTTTAAGTCTTCACTGTAGAAATTTATGTAGTTCTTTAGTTAATTTTGGGGAAACTCCTGACATTTTAAAAACTTTCTGGGAGTCCTGGTCAATGTTACTAAGTGGTTAGAGCATCGGCCTGCTCATGGAAGGGATGTGGGTTCGATTCCCGGTCAAGGGCACGTATCTGGGTTGTGGGCTCGCTCCCCACCCTCAGTCAAAGCATGTAGGAGGCAACCAGTCCATGTGTCTCTTTCACATTGATGTTTCTTTCTCTCCTTCCCTCCATTCTCTGGAAAGCATTGGGAAAAAATATCCTCGGGTGAGGGTTTAAAAAAAAAATTAAAAATTCAAACAAAAAGAGTGACTATGTAATAGATTCGCATATACTCAGCTTTAACAATTCTACCATGTAGCCAATTTTGAGATTTTGTTTTTGTTTTTTGTATTTTTTTCTTTATGCTGGAAGTTTTATTAAGTCCAAGTGGTTGATTCAAATAGTCACTGCTAGGTGGCAGCTTACCTATGGGCTCAAAAGATTTTGCAGAGCCACTGCATGCTCCCATTTATTGAGAAAAGAAGCCACCAATTCCTGACCAACTGAACCAGGGGTGGGATATGGTAAAATAGCAGGAAGTGTGAGGAGGGACCCAAACCCTTTGTGTGGGTTCTGCTGCTGACTTGTGTGGCCTTGTTGAATATGTGGACTTGGAGCCAGGCCTGCCCTGAGTACGTACTTGGGGATTTTCAGTCCTGCAGGGGAGGAAGCAGTTTGCCCCAAGGTCAAATTGATCAGCCCTCAGGCTCTGGAGAAGGGAGCTGTTACCTATGAGCATTTTCACACACAGTTGGACTCCCACCCCGTGTGTGCAGGTCTGTCCCTCAGGTAGGTTCCTTAGGCCACAGTAGGATGGTGCTATTGCGACCATATGACTTCATCTAGGGTCTGTAACCTGGTCCTGCCCAACCTCCAGAAGCACCATTTCTCCCTGCTTCAGGGGTGTGACCTCGGGGGAGGTCACCCATTTTGCTTGGGTGCTATAAATAGGGACAAAAACTTTTATCCGTTGTTGTTAATCCTCACCTATTTTTCCCATTGCTTTTCAGGGAGTGGGAGGGAGGGTCAAGAGAGAAACATCAATGTGAAAGTGAGTGGTGGCTACAGGCAGGGAGAAAGTTTTATTCATCACTAGTTGCCTCCTACATGTGCTCCGCCCCAGGTCAGGGAGGGAACCGGGAATCCAAGTACATGCTCTTGACCCAGAATTGAATCCTGGGCCCTTCTGTGCACCAGCCAAAGCTCCAACACTGAGCCACACCAGCCAGGGCGAGAACTTTCATTCTGGAAGATGGGCATGAATCTTTACTTCTGAAAACCAACTAAGCCTCCCCTCATCCTGACTTCTTTTTCCTCCAACCCTGTGTCAGGGGGAGGAGGTACAGTCAAGAGTGGCAGTGAGGTGGGGTCTGGATTCCAGAGCCACCACTTGGCCAGGGTCTCCTTGGCAGGGGTGAGAAAACTCAGGTGAGGCAGAAAGAGGTTTGCTCTGCTATTGCAGCTTCCATTCTTGCCCAGGGCCTTCAGGCCTTTTTACACCCAGGACTGCTCGGGCATGCTGGAACTTTCCCTTTTAGAGTGGAACTGATAGCAGCTACTGACCCCCAAGGCAGGTCTGTCTGACCTGCATCAAGATCACCCTTGTTGACTCCTGAGAACTGACCTAAGAAATTCCCTTAACTCGGGCTCTCCCAGCCACAAGTTCAGACTGGATAGATGTGCGCACACTGACGTGCTGTGGTGCTCTGAAGACTCACCTGCTGGGCGAGCAGGGGGTGATTTCTGAGGCATTTGGGGGGCTCTGGAATTGTGTTGGGGTATGGGAAGACCCTGCTTTGGGAGGGGCTTCTCTGGACAAAACCACCCCAGGTTACAACATCTGCTGTTCCCCTGGGGCGTGGTGGTGGTGGTGGTGGTGGTGGAGGAAGTCACAAAAGTTCTGGAGGCTGCAGACCACCTACCTGGCTGTGTGATGAACCAGCCAAGTCCTCCACTTTCCCCTTCCCTCTTTGGGAGAGAAGGACCAAATGAGGACTTCTGTAAAAGGTCTTTAATAAATGTTTCCTTCTTTTCCTCTAGGGTCTGGGACATTTCTAAAGTGTCTTCCAGTGCCGAGAAGCCTTGGATGGCAATGTCCATCCTCCCTCCCTCCCTCCCAAGTACTGGCCCATGTGAACATCTCAGTCTCAAAGCAGCCAGAGTCCCCTTGGGGCTGGTCTTGACTACACTTCCCCCTCAGTCCCCATCCGCCTCCCAGTTCTGGAAGCCAGTCTGGTTTCCGCTGAGTGAAACATAGCCAAAGACCCCCTCTCCCTTGTCCAAGGAATAGGGTGAACTGGTGCCATTTTAAAGCTAATCCTTCCCTTCGCCCCTCATACTAGCCTTTTTCTTCCCATCTCGGGAATCCTCTCCAGCTGCCCCTGTCCCCGTGCAGGCCTTTAAGCATCCTTAGCTCCACCCACTCCCTGCAGACCTGGCCTATAAGCCCAGCTTGGTGCAGCCACTGCCCCTCCCCCTCTGAACTTGGGCTCCTGTCACTTTCAATAAGCTCATCCCGTCTCACTCACTCAAGGACCCTCACAGGGAGAGTTACAAAGTGTTATGGTCATTTGGCTTCATTGATCAAAGAAGGCCCTGGGGCCTACTGTGTGCTCTGTGAGAAGGGAAGGATTAAGGTGAGGAAGGCATTCCCACATGTAAGAAACACAGAAGCAAAAAGGCAGAAGGGTTGGAAAAGTCCCCCAGAGGTCAGTGCTGCTCTGTGGTGAGGGGCAGCCCAAACCCATCTCAACTCCTGATGGAGCTGTCGTTGGTTTTCATCTGGTTTCTCTCTTGTCCTGGGAGATGGGTGGTTGGTGCAGGGCAAGAACTATGCCCTGAGAGGCCCTGGGTTTGGGGGCTGAGCCCTACCACTGAAATGAAGCTGTTGACCTTGGGCCTCCCCTTGGCTCCAAAGGGAGGCCGGCAGCGGAACTGGATCCGTGGGGCCTCCCGGCAGCGACAATGAATGCCACTGTGCCATGCTCCCAGGGACAGTAACCAAGACCATCACATTGTTCAAGGTGAGGGTCCCAGTGGCCATGATGGGGCCATTTAACCACCTAAGCCGATGGGGGTCCCTGGGACCTGGCATACAGACACACATGGACCTTTTCCTAGCCCCTGGCATCCATGCATACCGCCTTGTACCTGCCCCATTTCTTACTGCTGCTCCCATATCTCAAATCTTTCCACAGCTTCTTAGGAGCTGAAGGCCCAGTTCCCACTATACTCCGGCTCCCATCTCTATGTCCATGTCTGATACCAAGAGGCCCATATACCAATCTAGTCCCAGCTCTGCTCCACCCAGAAAGAGCCCCAGAGCCCCAACCAGTGAAGTGGGTGCACTGGCAATCTTCAAAGGCAATAAGGGTGGCCAGAAACTCAACAATAAATTACATCATTAAATAAACTCCCTGCTGGACCATGCCCCTTTCTGCCCCTTCTTCCCATACTCCACATACACCAGCCTCAGGCCCCAGGGAAGAGACGGCAGGCTGGCCTACAGGAGGCGGTAGGAGCAGGGCCTGGAGCTCTGAGAACCTTTGAGATAAGCCGATGCCCTCATTTTCTACACAAATGAGGAAAGCAGTCTGCAAAAAGGAAGACTTACTAAACACAACCCCCAAATAGGCTAGATTCTCCAGGCCCAGAGGTGAGGATGCAATCCTGGGGGGTTCCCTGAGTATCCCAGCAGGCAGGCATCCCAGTCTCACTTTGGGAAGCAGGAACCCAGGCCTCAGAAATAGGCAAGTGGGTTGCCAAAAAGGAGCAAAGACAGGCAGAAGGGAAACACACACACACACACACACACACACACAGAATCTGAGACTCTTGCAAAACACAGCTGTTCCGTGGGGGACATTCTCCTGATTGGTGGGGAGCCAGAGAACAGGGGCTGGGACCCACCCTGGCTCTGCTCACAGATTCCTGCAGAGCCCCCCCCCCCCCCCACCTTCCCGGCCCAGAGAGGACTCAGGGGTGCCACATGGGGGTTTATTCCAGTCACAGCTTCCAGAGAAACTCAACAATAAATTACATCATTAAATAAACTCCCTGCTGGACCATGCCCCTTTCTGCCCCTTCTCCCCATACTCCCTGGGGGCCCTGTGGGGACTTAGGCAGGCCCACCCCCTGCTCTAGGCCACAGGGGCGTGAGCCTCACTGGGTCCTCACACGTGAGGGCGAAGGAGAGTCTCCCTGCCCTGGTCCTCGGCCCCCTTGCACTCACTTGTCTGACCTTGACAGCTGGGCAGCTGCTAGTCAGCTGTCTCCTCCACAGGGGAGGGCGGGTAGAGGAGGGGGCAACAGCCGCCCTGAGTAGGCCTGTGTACCTAGAGGTGTGTGGGGTTCTCCAGAGAGGGGTCCGTCTTAGTCATGTGCAAGACCACGGTGGGAGCTTTGTAGTGGCAATGGGTGCCACGGCCATAGCCTCCTGGGGCCCGGCAGGCCTTCGCCCGGGCCCGGCCAGCTGCCATCTTGCGGTGACACAGGCTCTGCCAGGTCTGGAAAGTCTTGGAGCTCCACACCCAGACGCCGCTGGTTATGCCCACCACCAGCGACATGAAGATTTTGAGCATGAAGACGGCCACGGTGGGCACCGAGCCCCCCTGCAGCGAGCAGTCCCTCCGGCCGCCTGGCACGCTGGCTGGGGAGCACAGCTGCTCCGTTGCCCGCAGGCGCCAGAAGTCCATGTTGAGGCGCTCGTAGACGTAGCACACGATGACGCAGGTGGCAGGCACCGTGTACAGGATGGAGAAGACCCCGATCTTGACCATGAGCTTCTCCAGCTTCTCCGTGTTGGTGCCGCCCGTCTTCATGATCTTGCGGATGTGGAAGAGGGCCACGAAGCCCGTCAGGAGGAAGCTGGTGCCCAGCACCAAGTAGCAGGACAGGGGCACCAGCACGAAGCCCGTGAGCGCGGCCGCGTCCATGCTGGCCACGTAGCAGAGCCCGGTGAGCTCGTCCCCGGCCACCTTGCGCAGCGTCAGGATGACGATGGTCTTCAGGGCCGGCAGCCCCCACGCCGCCAGGTGGAAGTAGCTGCCGTGGGCCTCGATGGCCTCGTGGCCCCACTTCTTGCCGGCCGCCAGGAACCAGGTGAGCGTCAGCACGACCCACCACAGCGAGCTGGCCATGCCGAAGTAGTAGAGCAGCAAGAAGACAAGCGTGCAGCCCGTGTTCTCCAGGCCCTCCTGGATCACGTAGAGCGCGCCGCCCGCCTCCTGGTCGCAGGCCACGCTCTGGGCGCCGGCCACGGCGCGGATGAGGAAGGCCAGCGAGTAGACGTTGTAGCACATGGAGAGGAAGATGATGGGGCGCTCGGGGTACTGGAAGCGGTGCGGCTCCAGCAGGAAGGTGAGCACGGTGAAGGCGGTGGAGAAGAAGCACAGCGCGGACCACACGGCCATCCAGACGAGCGCGAAGTCCTTGTCCCGCCGCGACCAGAACACCTCGACCCCCGGGCCGCAGCGCGGCGCGCAGGAGCGGCTCTTCTCCACGTACTGGAACTTGTCCGGGTTCTCGCAGGTGCCGCCGCCGCCGGGGCCCGGGCCCGGGGCCGCCTCCTCCCCGGGGGGCCGCGCGGGCCGCGGCGCCACGGGCAGCATGCCCAGGCCCTTGTGCGGCTCCGCGGGGCCGGCCGTGGCGTTCTCGGGCGCCTCCATGCAGAGCGCGTGCGGGTCGTTGCGCGTGGGCAGCCGGGCGCAGTCGAGCGAGTCCGGCCAGCCGAAGTTGAACTGCTCCATGATGGGCGCGCAGCGCAGCCGCGCCTGCTCGCACATGGGCCGGCAGGCGGGGATGGGCGTGGAGACCTGGTCGGTGCACATGGGCGCGTAGAGCGAGCACAGGAAGAAGCGCAGGTGGCCGTGGCAGCCGTACTGCACGAGCGGCGCGAACTCGGCGAGCTCGGCGGCCGCCTCGCCCTGCGACGTGTGGCCCAGCAGGTTGGGCATGCGGGTGAGGTTGTAGCCGATGCCGTGGCACATGGGGATCTCCACCGCCTGGCACGGCGGCGGCCCGCGCCCGCGCTCCGGGTCGAAGCGGCCGATCTCCAGCGCCGCGCCGCCCGCCGCCGCCAGCAGCTGCCACAGCAGCAGCGCCCGGCGGATCGGCGGCACGGCCATCCCGGGCTGCCCCGGCCGGAGGCGGGAGGTCGGCCCCGGCTCACTCGGGCCGCGCCGTCCGGCGCCCCGGTGCGCGCCCGCCCGGCCCCGGAGCGCGGGCCATCGCCGGGCCGCCCCCGTGTGTCCCGGCGCGGCTGCGGGGCGCGCGGGGCAGCGCGCAGGAGAGCCGCCCGCGGGAGAGAGGCGCCGAGGAGCCACCGCCGCTGCCACCCCGGCGGCCGCGGAGCCTGAGCCGGCGCCGCCTCCCGCGGCCGCGGCTACAAGCCTGGGGCGGGGCGCCGGGCGGACAGGCCCAGAGGCGGGCCCTTCGCGGGCCGGGCCCGCCCCGCCCGGGCTTTAAAGGCGCCGAGGCCCTGTCCCGCAGCCACCCCGGGGGTGGAGGGTGCGGACCTGTGGGACGGGTTGAAGTAGGACATGGTCTGCCCGCTCACAGCTCACACTCCGTTGTTTTTTTTTGTTTTGTTTTAATATATGTTATTGATTTTTTACAGAGAGGAAGGGAGAGGGATAGAGAGTTAGAAACATCAATCAGCTGCCTCCTGCATGCCTCCTACTGGGGATGTGCCCGCAACCAAGGTACATGCCCTTGACCGGAATCAAACCTGGGACCTTTCAGTCAGCAGGCTGACACTCTATCCACTGAGCCAAACCGGTTACGGCTCACACTCCGTTATTTCCTTTCACTACACTATCAGGGTGATATTATGGGTGATTACTCCCCCTGCTTCTGTGGGCCTCACTTCCACTGTGGAGAAGGGGAGAACTGTCCTTCCTGTGGCACAGAGGGAACCACCAAGGCAGGACCCAATGCAGGAACGGTGAAGCCCTAGGGGTACGGCTCAGTCTGTCGGTGACAGATGACAATGAGTGAAGGAGATCTGAGACTGAGACCCTTCCTGCCCACCCCACCCACGTGTGCACCCCCGGGTTGGGAAGGTGTTTCTGAGGGGCCGGGTGGTGGGGCTCCCTAAGGTCCCAGAGCACCTCAGCCCTCCCACTGCTCAGCCAGGCACCCTCCACTGCTCCTGGGTAGCTCTGAAGGTGAAAGCCAAGAGCATCCAGCCAACCACCCAAGGGGCCCTACTCTGGTTTGGGACTCACGCTGAGACTGCTGTCCCCCTCCTTTGCCCACCTCCCATCTGCCCTCTCCCCCTAAGAGTATCTGGAAGACTCAGACTCAACATGTGTGCTCAGCACCAGTTCAGTCACCCTAGCAGCTGGTCAGGGTGCTTAGAGGATGAATGATGAAGGGACCGGCCTGCAGGAGGGCTAGGAGACTGGCTGAGGGCCTACGGAAAGCCAAGCAGCCCCACGCCGGACATTTTAAACTCTCATAGTCCTGCAAGGAACTCTGAGCCCATTTTACAGATGAGAAATTAAGGCCCAGAAAACTTGAGCTCTTGGCCCCAGATTATAGAACTCAGAAAGCCTGTCATTCAGGCTCTTCCACTCCATCAGGCTGCCTGTCGCCAGCAGAGGAAGGGCTCCTGCCCAGGCCAGCTGACCCAGCTCACCCTTCTGTAGAGCTTGGCATGTGGTGGGGGCTCCAGAAGGAGCCAGGGCAGTGGCTGTAATTAGTGCTCACCCCGGCTAAGAGCTGAGCTAGAATGAGGAAGAGAGAAGGAAAGAAAGACGCTCTGTTGCAGGCGTGCATCCAGCCTCTTGTTCTTCGCGGGCACATGAGAGACTGGGCATCCCAGGAGATGCAGCCAGCACTGTGCCCAGTGCGCAGGGTGTGCTTGGCTCCCCTGAGCCAAGAGAGGTGCTGCTGCAAGATCCTGGACTTCCTTCCCACGGAGGCAGCGCAGGAGGGAGGCACCTTTGGGAAAGGGGTGTGACTTTGATCACCTGGTCAAGGGTAACAGGCTCATCGCCGAAATGCCAGGGGCAGTTTCCCATTACACAGGGTGACAGCTCTTGCTCATGGAGATGGCAGCAGAACGCTTCAAAGCATAACTTCCCCACTTGCCTCTTCAGTTCCTGCCAACGCCCTCCCCGTATTCCAACTCATTCCGAAAACAACGTGCCACCTCTGTCTTGCATCCAGTCTCCCCGGCTCAGAGGCCCTTCTCTGCTGCTCTGGCTTCCAGCATCGCCTCCCACCGGCAGCCCCCTCTCCGGATGGAGCTGGAGGCTCTGCCCTGTGGGCCCAGGATCCTTGGCCCCCCACTGTCCACCTACTGTGCACCCACACACGCCTCCCATTCCCCCTCTGCTTCAACACCAGCAGCTGCTCTAGGACCAAGGGGCTGTTTTATTTTTCTCTGTGTCTTGCCCTGAGGAGGGACAGTTGCATGGACGACAATGGAGCATGACCCTGCCTCCTGACCCCTGCGTTATGGTGTTGGTGGGAGGAGGGGGCTCCAGAGCTGTCTGTCCCCTTTGCTGGCAGCCAGACTGGGACGCTCAGCCTGGTGGAGGCTTCCCATTGTTAGGACTGGCTTGGGAACCAGGTTTTTTGTGCCCCAACCCTCCTAACCCCCTCCCCTCCTCCCCACCGCCCACTCCCCTTGTGTAGAGGAATCAGGGGCCCTTCCTCTGGCAGCGTATGGGAAGGGCGCCCCAGGAGCCAGGGGATGCCAGGCCTGTCACCATAGTAACAGCTGCTCTGGGAAGCCAGAGGTGGGGAGGGGTGAGGGAACAGCCCCTCCCCCATGCAGATACTGCCTGGGAGAGAAGAGGCCTCTTGGGCCGCCCGCCCACCCACCCGGCTTTGTCACTCGATCCCCGTCTTTACAAAGGCAGAACAATGCCCCAGGCGCTCACTGAAAGGGAGACTATGAGGAGGACCGGAGGGGACTGGGAAGAGGGAGATTGCCATCAATGCCCACCCCCATTTCTGCTCGACTGGGCAGAGCGGGCCAGAGCGGCAGGCGAGGTGGGAATGGATCCCTTTCCTGGGGGAGACACATCCCTTCCTGGGGCCCCCTGCATACGTGGGAAGGGATACCTTCCTGACCTCTGTCCCCCTCCCACCACTCCAGTCCCCCTGAGGTCCCCACTCATAGGCCCTTCCGGTGATTGCAGCCACCACTCACCTCCACCGGACACCTGCTGGTCCTTCCCCCCCAAACTCAGTTCTGCTATTGCCATTTACAGCACAACCCCACCTGGTGCCCGCCTCTGTGCCTGCAGCCACCCGCCTGAGCTGCCTCCCCACAAGCCTGGGAACTCCTGGCAGCTTGTCGCATGGTTGGAAGAGGCTCTCATCAATGTTGGTTGTATGAAAAGAATGTAAATGAGGAGGAGGCCATAGATCCTTCTGGAAGAGGCCGACTACAAGTGGGGCCTGAGATTAGGAAAGGGATGTTGATTGGACTCTTGGGGACAGAGGTGTCTGTGAATAAACTGAACTTGAAGGAGGGCGGGTCCTGTATCTCTTCCAGGTGCCAGGAATGCCCCTCAGGGGGCAGGATTGGTGATGGAGGAGCCGGCAGGTACATGGACACACCTGCTCCTGGGCAGGGGCGGAGCGTGGAGCGTTACTGCAGCCTGGGAGACAGAGGTGGACTTTGGCACCTGTGTGTGCTGTGTGTGGGACGTGAAGGGTGAATTAAGTGTGTGTGTAGACTCAAGGACATACAGGGGCTCGGTTATTCCTGTGTGTGCATGCCCCGTGCAGTGGGCGGGGCGGGGTGAGCCCACCTCCCTGAAGCTTAGCCCTGGTTCTCAGTCAGTTCCCTTTAAGGAGATGTCAAGGGCTGGACTAGACTTTCATTTTTACTAAAGAAGTGCTTTAAAATTTTCTTCTTAGGGCTTTACACTTTTCACAACTAATTCAACATTAGAAATGAGCAGAGAAATAACAGTCGTTTCTTCCTCTTCTTACATACAGTGCCAGCACTCAGCTAATCAATATGGAGCTCAAACGTCTCATCCTGCCTGTGGCTCAGTTGGTTGGAGCACTGCCCTATACACCGACAGGCTGCAGGGTTTTCCCAGGCCAGGGTGCCTCCGGGAGGCAACCGATCCATGTCCCTCCTCTGAAGTCAATAATCATATATCTTTGGGTGAGAATTAAAAAAAAAAAAAAAAAGGTTCGGGAATCTCTCTAGATACTTTTTTCTAGACTTTACAAACTCTTGTGCTAAAATGAAATTAATATAGTACATTTTATGCCTCATTTTTTCACCTAATAATCTATCATGAATCAATGGATGAATAAATATATGGAAAAAAGGATAAGTAAAATGTTAATGGTAAAATCTAGGTAGTGGTCATTCAGGTTCTCACTACAAATTTTGTTAAACTTTTCTGTATATTTAAAAATTTTCATAATAAAAGTATTTTTAATTACTATCGTAAATGTCTTTCCTTATCAACACAAACACACACACACGGGGCCCAACCATTTTTTAAAAATAGTCTCTCTGATCTTCACAGAGAGGATTTATTATGAATTATTTAGCTAATCCCCTTTGGATAGACATCTAAGTGGCTTGTTCTGATCTAGACCAGCCAAGCAGATATAGGAGTACGTGTAACTGAGTTCTGCAAACTGTGGTCCACAAGCCAAATCCAGCCCACTGGATTAAATAAAGTTTTATTGAAACACAGCCACGCTCACTGGTTCAGAATCTACAGTTCTTTTGAGCTACGATGACAGAGTTGAGTAATTTTCACAGAGACAATATGGCCCCCAAAGCTGAACCTATTTACTATTTGGTCCTTTACAGAAAGCATTTGCCGACCCTGAGGGGCTTGTACTTTTATTTCTATAGTGTAGAGTCTGTGTCGATGAGTTTGTGAATTTTTATAGCATTATTGGGGTACATTATTGATGTAAAATAAATGTGCACATATTTAAAGTATATAATTAAAAAAAACATATTTTATTGATTTTTTACAGAGAGGAAGGGAGAAGGATAGAGAGTTAGAAACATTGATGAGAGAGAATCATTGATCAGCTGCCTCTTGCACCCCCTATTGGGGATATGCCCGCAACCAAGGTACATGCCTTTGACCAGAATCGAACCTGGGACCTTTCAGTCCGCAGGCAGACGCTCTATCCACTGAGCCAAACCGGTTTCGGCTAAAGTATACAATTTAACATATGGATATACCTGTGAAATTTTACCACAATTGATCCTGAGAATATCTTCCAGTTAAAATGCAAATATCTTACTGGGAAGTAGTACATTAAAAAGTTAATAACTGGTATATATAATAACTGGTCAATATAAGGTGAAATGAGCTTAAAAATAACTACCATTTATTAAGTATTAATTTAAATCGCATTCAATCCTCAAACACCATAT